CCAGGCTGTAGTGCAGTGGTGCAATCTCAGCTTACTGCAACCTCCACCTCCCTGGTTCAAGTGATTCTCCTGCCTCAGCCTCCTAAGTAGCTGGGACTACAGGCGCCCATCACCACTCCCGGCTAATTTTTGTTATTTTTGGTAGAGATGGAGTTTCCTCATTTTGGTTAGGCTGGCCTCGAACTTCTGACCTCAAGTGATCCACCTGACTCAACCTCCCAAAGTTCTGGGATTACAGGCATGAGCCACCACACCTGGCCAAAAATCCATGTTTTTTGTTTTGTTTTGTTTTGAGACAGAGTCTCGTTCTGAAGCCCAGGATGGGGTGCAATGGCGTGATCTCTGCTCACTGCAACCTTCACCTCCCAGGCTCAAGCTCTTCTCCTGCCTCAGCCTCCTGAGTGGCTGGGATTACAGGCATGTGCCACCACACCCAGTTAATTTTTGTATTTTTAGTAGAGACGGGGTTTTGCCACTTTGGCCAGGCTGGTCTCAAACTCCTGACCTCAGGTGAGCCACCCACCTCGGCCTCCCAAAGTGCTAGGATTATAGGTGTGAACCACCACTCCCAGCCAAATCTATGTTGTTTTAAGTCGTTAAGTCAGTGGTAAGTTGTTACAACAGTGATTGGAAATGAATACGCCACCCTCCAATCTTTCCCCAGTACTGGCCATCGGCCAAGCCTCCCTGGGAGCCAGTGGCCAAGGGAGTTTGGAAAGTGTAGGTCCCTGTGACACAAGCAGGGCAGGGTGAGAGGGTGGCTCTGTGGGCCCAGGGCCAACTGCCCGGAAGAAGTGGGACCTAGCGGGTAACTGGGAAAAGCACAGGTGGGTGTTCTGGACCTGTTTCTTTCTCCCAGGCTTCCCCGCAGGCATCTAACACATCTCGCTGGGCAGGAGGGAGAGGTGCTGGACGACCCTGAAGTTTCTGGAATGGGCTGTCCCTGCTCCTTCTTCTGTGGGCACATGGCACCCTGATGGGCACAGGATTCCTAACTTTGCCCCCTCTGCTGGTTCTCTGGGTGTGGATTTCTATTTGGGGCCATCTGACTAGATGCTACTGGACCAGTGGTTCTCCACATGGGGTCCCTGGGCTAGCAGTGTCAGGATCAGCATCCCATAGGAGCTGGTTCGAAATGCATATTCTCCAGCTGTACTCCGTACCTACTGAATCAGAATCGCTGAGGGTGAGATCTGGAATGAGGTGTCTTCACAGGACCCACAGGGGGATCTGGCGCAAGCTGAAGTTTGAGACCAGGATGCTAGACTCTGAACTACTTGAGGACAGAAATCCTACTTCTCTGTCCCCTGAGTACCTAGCCCAGTGCTGGTCTTCAGGAGATATCAAAAGCTATTTGTTGGGCGGATGGTGGGTAAACGAATGAGTGGATGAGAGGCCATGCATCTCTGCGCATCTCTGTTGAGTGTATCCTCTTTTGTCTTGCACTCCATTCCTGCTTCCGCTGGGATGTGGGTGCTTCCCAGGCCAGTGCCAGGGGCTACAGGCATGCCAGGTGGCAGCAGATGAGACCTACTTTGGAAACCTGTGTCCGACTCAGGGCAGCTACCTGTGGGTGCAGTACCAGTGCTGGGAAGGTGAGTCCCCAACTTGCTTAAGCATAGAAATTTCCCTCTATTTCACAGCATGTCCAGCTTCCCCTGAAAACAGAGACAGCAGCCACCCACGTGGGCTCATCTCTGTGTTCTAAGAGACTCCCTCATTCAAAATTGCTCCCCTTGGCTGGGCACGGTGGCTTACACCTGTAATCCCAG